GCGAAGATGAAACTCCATGAGAACTGCCGTTCAAAGGTTCATTTTCGCTGAAATCAACCTTCAATTAGAAGACTCTTAAAGACCCAATTCTGTTGATAGCAACAATTCTGCTGCCTATGTTGTTACGCTGAGAAGAAAAACGAAAGCCACTCTACCACCTTTTTCATTCATCTTGGTTATTGGTTTCTCCTCTATCACTAAAATCAATAATTTTGGAAAATTATCACCATGAAGACAAATTTGACCAGAATGTCCATGGCACATTAACTCTTCAATAGCATGCAAAACCAAAAATGATCTTTTTTACCAATCTATGTTTCTCGGCAACTTTTTTGATTATAATTGCAAACCCCAAAATCCTAAATGAGCAGAACCTTACCCGTACAAACCAAAAGAAAAGAAATTAACTACTGCAACAAGATTGCTTACATTGTTTGAAGTACACTTTCATCAAGGAGGGGCCTCAGAAGTTCCGCTAGATGAGACTGTCGGGCATAGAGCAGCGCACGAAACAATGCGTCATAAGCTTTATCCCCTCTAGATTTCACAGCACGGACGATGGCAACTCGTTGTGCAGTAGCGCTTCCAGAAGACTGAAAAGCCAAATATCTTTGCGGAAAAAAAGTTGCAACTATGTTAATTGTCAAAGTTTGGACTCTAGGTATATGTCCTAGCAGCTTTTCCGTTGTCTGAATATTACCTCAAAGAATTTTTGACATAGTTGCGTAGCACTGGATGTAAAACTAGAAGTTCTGCAGTGAATAAACATATAGTTAAGAAATCTCATTACATCTACATTCTAGATAGTTATCATCGGTGCATTGCTCGTGGTACTATGATACATGTATTTTGTTCAAATCTTCAAAGAAATGAAGAACAATTTTGAAGAATGATAAATGACTACGTGTATAGCGAGTTTAAATGACTGGCAAGCAGGACCAAACGATCCTTACTCTGAAAAACAAGTCCTATCTCAAAGAAAGCATACGTTTTTCCATTTGTACACCTTTTTAAATGATATGGATCGGAGATTGTCGAGTATTTCACCAACTTTATACAATGATATTTTGGTCGTTTGTAAAGATAAAAATGAGCATAGCAGTCTAGCTTCAAACTGCTCAACGAATTGACTTTTTAATCAGTAAAAACTTAGAGCCATTACAAGCATGAAATTCAACCTTTGCTTGCATTCATCTGGCAGACGATGGAAATATATCTTCACATATAAACGGCAGAACTTTCCTAATCAATAATTCTACTCAACTTCCTAGGTGGTGTTTCCCTTTGACCTGGACCCTTTCGTGAACATAGAAGCGTATCGATAAACGGGAGCATCAAAAATTGCTTGAAGTGATTTGTTTTTCTCGATTGGACAACACCATACAATTACTGAGCAATTTTTATGTGAACATATCAGATACAAAGGTGAAAAAGCAAACTGGTTGGTGGTAGCACCTTTACTTTTGCTATGAACTTTTACAACTTTAAGTCTATAGTAGCTGATATTCCTTCAAACACGACTTTGTGCTTGATACCTATTGATGGTAGTGAACATTTCGAAAAGAGCTCTGCGCATAAGTTCTGCTGCCGATCAAGATTTAGTTAGCCTCGGACAATCAGCTAATTTCAGGTTTCTCAGGAAAGAAATTTTTTGAAAAGAACGATTCAAGAAGTTTCCTGATAAAGGCGCACAAGATTTGCCTACAAGAACAAGAAGCGTGTCGCGATGCTGAACTCAAATCTGCCTTTTCTGTCTACTAAGCAAATTTTTAAAAGTTGCAAAGATTTTTAAAAGTAGCATATATGATCTAACATTGGTTGTTCAGTAAGAAAGTCAAAACAACGATGCAAAAATCACGACTCGGGTGCGAATCAGCTAAGGACGAGCTACTATTATATCGTTATCCAGGCCGAATTTGGTGTGTTTGAGCAACATAACAGGCCTTGAACGCTACCTTTCGTGAACACTTTCAGCTTCTTTCAGCTATTAGCTCAACAGAATGTATGCAGAATCGAAGTTGGCGTTTTAAAGCGCATCCAATTCTGTACAACTATGTTTGAACGGCTAAGTAGACAAAGTTTCCTTTCCTTACTGATCAATGAATCATTATTTGTAAATGCTTTACAGAATACCTTTACTTCGCTCACCAAAACTTTGTCCACGACCAAATCTGGAAATATCCCTTTACTTTGCAGATAGAGAAGCACATTATCAACGTCCATTTCTCGACTGAGATCAATGAGGTTTCTATCCAACAGTTGACGTCGCTCCAGCCGCATCATTGTGAGGCGGAGAAACCAACTTTTTGCTGATCACCAAATTCGAAAGTAGAACTTGAAAGAAATACGATTTTTGAAAAAAAAAAGATGAAACATTGAAATATCTACAGCATGTCTTTCTCAAATGAGGTGGTGAGAGAGTTCAAATTTTCGCATAACACAAAGTATTCCATGAAAAAGTAAATTTTGATGTCTCAGAACGACTGGTTCAAACAAAAGAAAAGAGGGGGAAAAAACTTCAAAACCGGTCATTGGGAATAAATATCAAAAATTACAACAGGACAACGTAAAGGAATAAATAGTCAGTCTGTACTACAAAAGGCCTAGTAATTTGAGTAGAACTGAAAACTCAAAAAGTCTGAAGATCAATGCTTGGACATTACTGGGAATACTGGATTGGTATCTCGTGATATGAGATTATTTTGGGAGCAGGAAAAAGGAGTAGTGAACAAAATGAATTTATACGAAAGACATCGTATGACTGTGTTGAAGAACAGCTGACCGAGAAATGGATTGCGAATCTTCGCTGCTATGGAATAAAAGTGGCCGACAGATTTCATTTACAACATCAGTTAAGCTTTAAGCTTAAGATAAGGTATGGTTTACAAAAAGAATGAGAAGAGTGGATTAATT